CCTGCCTCTCATTTGGAGCCGAGCTTGCAGTACTGTAAGGATAAGAAGAGATATAAAAATAATACAGCCAACATTTATTGTACTCTGTGTGCACTTATGATGTACCAAAACCTGAGCCAAATGCTCTCTGTGGATTCATGTTTGATCCTTACAATAATTGCACTCCTGAAAACATCTAGCACAGCTCCTAGGCCCCGTGGGAACTCAGTGGTAGCTTCTCTCCCTAACTTTTTCTTCATGTTTGTTGTTTCAAGCATCTCCCCAGTGTTTGCCATTCTCTCCCTTCCTTCTTCTCCTTCTCTTTCTTCAATGCTGGGGATTGAACCCTCGTCCTCACACATCCTTGGCAAGCACTCTTATCACTGAGCTACATCCCACTCTGTGTTTGATGTTCTTCAGGGTCCGCTGAGCTATTTCTCTGGTTGCCTAGAAGAGGAATCTGACTCAGGGACCTTGTGCCTGGCAAAGTTCTGATGGGGCATAGGGCTCAATCAGAAGAGCATGTGGGCAAACAGGCACGGGATAAGGATGTGGTTAGCATCACAGCCTCTAGTGGTTTTCCCCTGAGCAACTTTAGACACTTTTACAACTTCTCCAGGGTACTAGGGTTTACCCTCCTGGGGAAGTGAGAGGTAGAGGGTTTATGAGTCCAAGGCTGCCCAGCAAGCGGGTATGAAGAGCTGATATGTATTCTGGTTTGCCTTCCAATCCCCCATATGGCTTTCATCCTGAGACCTATTCTCCATTATTTTTGATTCTTCCTTTATTCTTTTTGGCTAATCGGGTGCCAAGAACTGCCAATTCTCCCAGATGATTGTTATTACCTGAGAGGTTGTTCATGGAAAGGTTTGACCAAGTTTTCTTCATTTGGATTAAGGGTAGGGACTATATCATTTTTGTGTTTCCAGCAACTAAATGAATGTTTAAGTTGAACTTAATAATAGTGATAATTTATTCAGAGCCTCTTGTGAACCAGTTACTTTACTGATCAAGTTTAATCCTCCCCAAGCTGCTGCTTTTATCTGTATTTAACAGAATGGGAAAAGTGTGATTTGTGTTAGGTCACAGGACTAGCAAATAGCTAAATGGTAAACTAATAAGTAGTATGGACCTCTCTTGTAACCCCAGACCTGCATGTCTAGCTGCCTATTTGAATTTTTTCTTTCTTTCTTTCTTCCTTTCTCTCTCTCTCTCTCTCTTTCTTTTTCTTCAGTACTAGGGATTGAACCCAGGTGCGTTACCATCACTGAACTGTATCCCCAGTCCTGTTTACTATTTATTTTGAGTCAGGGTCTCACTAAGTTGCCCATGCTGGCCTGAACTTGCAATCCTTCTACTTCTGTCTCCTGAATCTCTGGGAGAACAATCCTCTTGATTGTCCAATGGGCATCTCAAAATAAACATGTCCAAGACCAAGTTCCTGGCATCCACTCTCCTCCAACCTGTTCATTAGTTGTAACTACATCTTTCAGCAGCTCAGGGCAAAACCACTGAGCCATCCTTAACACCTCTCTTTCCCACACACCCTAGTTACAATTCATGATCAGGTCTACCTTCAGAGCACCTCCAGAACTGACCACTCCTCATTTTCTCCACTCTTCTGTTCTGGCCCAAGCCTGTCATCACTTCCTGGGATGGTTCTGGTAGGCCTCCTCACTGGTCTCCTGGCTTTTGCCTTTGCCCCCTTTAATCTATTTTCAGTAGAATCAGATGTGTCACCTCTCTGCTGGAACCACTTCAGTGGGTAAACTTGATGAGTAAAAAAAGCTAAAGTCCCTACAAGGTGTGATCTGAGCTGGCTTCCTGAGAAGTCTCTTACCTCATTTTCCAGTCTCCCCACTTCCCATCACCCTGTTATTCTCACGTTTCTTCAAGCCATGCAGTCTTATTTCAAAGCCTTTGCATATACTGTTTACTCTTTCTGGAAATCTCTTCCTTTAAATATTCTAAATACCCAAGGCTTATTTCTGCATCTCTTTCAGTGTTTTTGTTTTATTTTGTTTGTGGTGCTGAGGATTGAACTGTTCACATGATAAGTGCATGCTCTACCAATGAGCTGACCTCCAGCCCTTTGCTGAACAATTTATCTTTTTATTTTGAGATTATAAGAGTTCTTTTATGTGTTATAGGTAAATCCCCCTTTCTGATACACTGTAAATTTGCAAATATTTCTTCCTATTCTGTGAGTTGTCTTTTCTCCATCAGGAGTACTGGGGATCTAATCCAGCCCTTTACCACTGAACTACATCCCCAGTCTGCCCGCCCCCTTTTTTAGTTGTAGACGGACACAATACCTTTATTTTACTTATTTATTTTTATGTGGTGCTGATAATTGAACCCAGAGCTTCACATGTGCTAAGCAAGCACTCTACCGCTGAGCCACAACCCCAGGCCTCCCCAGCCCCCCCCCCCCTTTTTTTTTAAATTTTGAGACTGTGTCGCACTAAATTGCTAAGGCTGACCTTGAACTTGTGATCCTCCTGTCTCAGCCTTCCAAGTCACTGGGATTACAAGCATGTACTATCTCACAGCAAGAGATGGTATTCTTTGAAACAGAAGTTTTTAATGTTTACAAAGTCCAATTTATCTATTTTTTCTGTTGTTTGTGCTTTGGGTGTCATATCTGAGAAACTATTGTCTAATCCAATGCAATGAGGGTTTACCCCTATATTTTCTTCTAAGAGTTTTATAGCTCTTACATTTAGGTCTAAAATACATTTTGAATTGTTTACATGGTGTGAATGGGGTCCAATTTCATTCTTTTTCTTGTGGGTATCCAGTTGTCTTTAATTCCTTTTTTTGGGGGGGCGGGGGCGGTAGTACCAGGGATTGAATTCGGGGCACTTGACCACTGAGCCACATTCCCAGCCCTATTTTGTATTTTATTTAGAGACAGGGTCTCACTTAGTTGCTTAGCACCTTGCTTTTGCTGAGGCTGGCTTTGAACTCAGGATCCTCCTATCTCAGACTCCTGAGCTGCTGGGATTACAGGCATGCACCACTGCACCCTACTTCGGTTGTCTTTATTTCTTGTTAAAAATTAATTGACTCTAGCAGGGCATGGTGGTGTGTCTGTGATCTCAACAACTCAGGAGACTGAAGCAGCAGGATTGCAAATTTCAGGCCAGCCTGGACATTTAGCAAGATGCTGTCTCAAAATAAAAATTTAAAAGGGGCTGGAGTATAATTCAATGGTAGAGCACTCCTAGGTTCAATCTCTAGTATTGCCAAAATTAATTGATTATTTAATTAATTAAATTGACCATAAATGTAAAGGTTTACTTCTGGACTGCCATTTCTATTCCATTAATTCATATGTTCATTCTTATGTCAGTACCATACTACCTTTATTACTTTATATAATAAGTTTTGAGATTGGACAGTGAATCCTAAAACTTTTCTTTTTAAAATTGTTTCTGATGTTCTGTATCCTCTGCATTTGCATATGAATTTTAGGATTGACTTGTTCATTTCTGCAAAAGCAAAATCCAGCTGAATTTTTCCCCCCAATCCTAGAGATCAAACTGGGGGCCTCATACATGCTAGGCAAGCACTTTACTAGTGAGCTACATATCCAATCCCAGTCAGTTGAAATTTGTATAGATATTGTATGAAAAATGTAGATCAGTTTGAGGAGTAATGCCATCACCCCAAATACCATCTATTCACTTTTATTCATGAACATGGGATGTCTTCTCATTTATTTAGGTCCGTTTAATTTTTTAACAATGTTTTATAGTTTTTAGTGCATAAATCTTGTACTTCTTTTGTTAAATTTACTCATATTTTTCATCTTGATGCTATTTTAATAAAAACATTTTCTCAATTTCATTTACAGATGGTTCATTTTTAGTGTTTAGAAATCCAACTGATTTTTGTGTATTGATTTTGTATACTGAACCTTACTGAACTCATTTATTAGTTCTAATAGGCTTTTTGTGGATTCCTTAGAGTTTTCTATATTCAAAATCATACAAATAGAGATAGTTTTGATTCTTTCTCTCTACCCTGGATACTATAATCATCAGTTCTTATCCTCTTTCATTTCTTCTCACACACAGCCTTTAGACTAATTTTCCTTTTGTTCTCCTTTCAATTTTCTGAGATTTATGTTCAAGCTAATTTTGGTGCTGATCCTTTCTTGTTTCTTCAGGTACAAACTTCTCTGAAAAAAGGATACACTAAAATGAGGTAGCAGGCTGGAGGTATGGCTCAGTGTTTGAGTGCTTGCCTACTATGCACAAAGCCCTGGGTTCAGGGCTGGGGATGTGGCTCAAGCGGTAGCGCGCTCACCTGGCATGCGTGCGGCCCGGGTTCGATTCTCAGCACCACATACAAACAAAGATGTTGTGTCCGCCAAATACTAAAAAATAAATGTTGAAATTCTCTCTCTCTCTACCTCTCTTTCACTCTCTCTCTAAAAAAAAAAAAAAAAAAAAAAAAAAGCCCTGGGTTCAATCCCCAGCCCTGCAAACAAATAAGTAAATAAATAAATTTAACATGACAAGATGCTACACAGTAAGATGTAGTTCTGTGTATGTGTGTTTGTACTGGGAGTTTACCACTGAACTACATCCCTAGTCCTTTTTATTTTTTACTTTGAGAAAGGTTCTTGCTAAGTTGCTGAGGATCTCATTAAGTTGTTGAGGCTAGCCTTGAACTTGCAATCCTTCTGCTTCAGCTTTCTGAGTCCGTGGGATCACAGACCATGTGCCACCATGCCTGGCAGGGACATTGTTATTAGTTTCTGATATTTTCTTCCAATAAATTCTATGCATACTGAAATACATATATCTATATTTATATAAATTCATATGTATAACATCCTTACACATAGGAGCTGTTATATGTCTTGCTTTTGTTTTATCTTAACAATGAGTTTTGGAGGTTGTACCACGTAGCACCTAATTTTCATTAACAGTTATATACTCTTCCATTTTAATGAAACACTCTCCTATTGAGGGCTATTAAGGTTATTTCACCTTTTGTGTTACCAACAATTCTGCAGCAGACATCCTTGTATGTTTATTTGTACATGTCAAGTTGCCTTGGGCAATATTTTGAAAGGAAAAAAAGAGGTGTAGGAGAGCAAGGGTTTTGTGATTAGAAGGATTGCAGTTGTCTTCCTGCAGCCCTGCTCTATGCCATCTCCAGGCCCAGTCCTGACCATCAGTGCTCTCTGGCGGACCGGAGAGCTCTCCATCATTCTGCTTTGGCAGTTGGAAAAGGGCATCTTCTGGGAGCCTCTGGCTTGGAGTAGACAGCATTGGCCAGATTTGCAATCATTAGGCTCAGCCTGGCTAAGCCTGGGTCATGGCCTGTTTGGGAGTGGGATGCTGAACCACTGATGCTGGTGTGCAGCACACTGACTGCGGTGGGTAGGCCAGAAGTCAGCCTGTTGGGGTTGACCTTGGCTTTCAGGATGTCCTGAGCAAGCTGTTTAGCTAGATCCGGTGCTGACCTGTTCTGACCACGAGAGGGTAGTAATGAGCTGCCTAGCGTTCCAGGCTGTTGAAGGGCCTTCTCTGTACAAAGAAGCTCTTGTGTGGAGCAGCTTCCAAGAGGACAGGACAGCCAGGTAAATTATATTCCTGAAGAAGAAGGATGCATTAGAGGAAATCTAGTTGAACATATTAGAGAACACGATAAAAAGTATAAAATCAAGATGGACCACCTCTCATGAAAATAGCTTCATTATATATATATATATTTTCCATAAATATAGTACATGACATTACAAAAACTTCTAATAATACATAAAAGTACAAAGTATGACCACTGTTCACTTTTTGGCAATGTTTTTGTAACCTGATTTTTTTTAACTCAGAAAATGTGTGGTTATCTATCCTTGTCAATATCTTTAATGTTAGAGGCCTCAGGACTTGTACTTACATAAATGCTTCATAAATTTTTCTACCCCAGTAACCCCAAAGGCAGAGAAGATGAATGCTTAGCCAGGCAGGTAGTAGTGAGACTGTGTGTGGAACTGGAATGTAACAGAACAGGAGAAACTTCTCTGAAATAGTGTGCTTTTTACCTTAAAAGTTCAGACAAATTTTGCATTATACCCCATACATTTTTTTTTATACCCCATACATTTTGCATTCTCCTTCCCCTTTGTGTTTATTTAAAAATACGATGTCTTTTTCTCCTCCACATCTTTATAACATCTCATCGTATGTATGTACCACATGTAATGCTGGACATTTAAGTCATTGACAGTTTTTTTCTATACTATAAACACTATCTCACTATCATGTTGGGTGCGGTGGCGCATACCTGAAATCCCAGTGGCTTGGGAGGCTGAGACAGGAGGATCATGAGTTCAAAGCCAGCCTCAGCAAAGGAGAGGTGCTAAGCAACTCAGTGATACCTTGTCTCTAAATAAAATATAAAAAATAGGGCTGGGCATGAGGCTCAGTGGTCAAGTGCCCCTGAGTTCAATCCCCAGGACACAAAAAAACCCAACCAAAACAAAACAAAACACTATTGCAGTGAGCATCCTTCGGCCTATGTAGTTTCTCTTGTCTGATTATATCATTAGATTAGATTTCCAGAATGGGCATTTTGAAAAAACAAAGATACTCCCTTGCTCCCTGTGCTTTTGAAAAATTTGGTACAAGTGAGATGAAAAGGTGCTGAGGGGGAGAAGGGCTGTTCTTTATGCTTCTTGTTCAGGTCCTGGCTGGGACCTACCAGTAGTCTGGCTCTAGGCTTGGATCCTGCTTCTGCATTCACACAAGGTAACATGGCTTCCCTGTGCCCAGCAAAGTGCCAGGCTCTTATTTCCACCTTTTTTCATGTGGTCTTCCTAACAACCCGTTAAGATAGGGATGATTATTCTCATTTTGCAGAGGAGGAAGCCAGTCCTGTGAATCCAGGTGTTTTGGCCAAGGTTTCACAGAGAGGAATTTGATGTTTGGGTGTCTTGATTCAGGGATTCAGCATCAATGTCAGCTTAGGGAACAGGACAGCTTAGCTGTAGACTTACTCCTAGGATAGTCGCCTGATAACCTTTGAATCTAGCCACTCAGGAGGATGAGACAGGAGGATCCCAAGTTCAAGGCCAGCCTCAGGGACTCAGCCAAACCTTGTCTCAAAATAAAATAAAAATAACTAAAATTGTTGGGGGTGTAGGTCAGTGGTAGAGCACTCATCTAGCATGCAAGAGGCCCTGGGTTTGATCCCCAGCACCACAAAAAAACAAAACAGAACAAAAAACCTTTCAGTTGCAAGTAAACACAAAACCCAAAACAACACTAGAGCTATTTTAAGTTTTGTTTTTTTTTTTTTTAAAGGAGGAGTAATGGTGGGGGAGGGAATTACACGAACACAGAGAAGTCTCATGGAGCCCAAGAGAAAAAATAATTAGTCTCAGGAGGAATGAGGAAGCAGTGTTCTCTCTGTTTCTCTTTCTCTGGGAAATCATGGCCTCCAGCCTCTGCTTCCGTAAGTGCATCTAGCTCACTCTTCTCCTTTAGCAGATCAGGTTCTTTGCCTTGCCATGAATGTGGCCTTCTTCCAGCTTCCAATTTTACATCCGCTCACTTTAGGTCTGCAGCCTAGACTGAGCTGGGATCTCTTATTCTAAACCCAAATCCCCAGGAGAGAGAATCTGATCTGATAACCTTTTGATATGTGTCCACTTCTGATCCAAACAGTGGTTGCCTTCATGGGCAGCACTAGGTAGTACACACATGGCTATCAGCCGGGGGAAGTTCTTAAAGGACAGGGATCATCGCTGGCTGGCAGATTCCTATAAAGGTGTCTACTTTGTCTCCCTGTCTGTATAAAACCCCAATATTAAACAGCATTCTATTAGAGGAAAAGGGTTGGAAACCCAACTCAAGTTTACTTAAACAAAAAAGGGAACTTTTTATCTCTAACAGAAAAGTCAAGGGCTTGATTTCAGGCACAGCTGGATCCACTTGCTCAAAAACACTGCCAGGAACCATCTATCTCTTTTCATCTCTCAGTTTGACCTTCTTCTGTGTGTACTTCATTCCCAGGGAGGCTTTTTCCCTTGTGGTGATAATGTGGCTTCGAGCAGCTCCGTCGCATGACTTAGTTTTCTCAGGGGGAAGCAAATTTCCCCTTTCCGATAGTTTCAGTTCTGATTGTCTTTGATTGAGCCAGAGCTTATTCTGAACCAATCCCTGTGACCAGGGGACAGTTGTCTGATTGGCTAGCCCTGGGTTACATGATCATTCCAGAGCTGAGGTGTTACTGTTCCCCCAAAGAAAAATGGAGTGTTATTAACAGAGATTCCAAGGCTGGGGTGTAGCTCAGTGGTGAAGTACATGCCTAGCATGCATGAGGCCTTGGGTTTGATCTCCAGAATCTCAAAAAAGAAAAAAAAAATTACAGAGATTCTGGAACCTATTTTTAGAAACAGAGGATTAAAATGTTCATCAATCACCTCCTGGGATATGTTGAAAAACGCTGGAGGAAAGTAAATAAAATTCTCTTATTCTTTTACTACATGTTTATTATTATTTGCAGGACTGAGGGTTGAACCCAAGGGCACTTCACCACTGAGCTACATCCCCAGTGCTTTTTGTTTTTTAAATTTTGAGACAGGTCCCACTAAGTTAGTGAAGATAGACTCAAACTTGCCATCTGACTATATCAGCCTCCCAAATCACCAGAATTACAGATGTTCGCCACTGATTCCAGCCATTCTTTTATTTGATATACATTTATTGAAGGTTCTATATGTACTCCTCTCTGTGTTCAGGGGATATAAGAGTGAATCAGAGGATAGTAGAATGAATCGGACATTATTACCCTGTGTGCATAAGTGATTACACAACCAGTGTAACTCTACATCATGTACAACTAGAAGAATGAGTATACTCCATTTAGATATGATGTGTCAAATGCATTCAATGGTCATGTATAACTAATTAGAACAAATTAAAAAATAATTTAAAAAGAGTGAATCAGAGTGGGGTGCTGTGGCTCATGCCTGTAATCCCAGTGACTTCCAGGAGGCTGAGCAGGAGGATTACAAATTTGAAGCCAGCCTCAAAAAAAAAAGTGGGGGTGGTGGTGCCAGTAGTGTAGCTCAGGGGATAAGTATCCTGGGTTAAATTCCCAGTACCAAAAAATTAAAAATAAAAAATAAATTTAAAAAGAGAGAGGGGCTGGGGTTGTAGCTCAGTGGTTGAGCACTTGCCTGGCATGCATGAGGCACTGGGTTCAATCCTTAACACACATAAAAATAAAAATAGGGCTGGGGATGTGGCTCAGCGGTAGCGCGCTCGCCTGGCATGCATGCGGCCCGGGTTCGATCCTCAGCACCACATACAAACAAAGATGTTGTGTCTGCCGAAAACTAAAAAATAAATATTAAAATTCTCTTTCTTTCTCTCTCTCTCTCTCTCTCTCTCTCTCTCTCTCTCTCTCTCTCTCTCTCTCTCTCCCCCCTCTTTAAAAAAATAAATAAAAGATATTAAAAAAAGAGAGGGATGGGGATATAGCTCAGTTGGTAGAGTGCTTGACTCACATGCAGAAGGCCCTGGGTTCAATCCCCAGCACCAAAAAAAAAAAAAAAAAGAGAGAGAGAGAGAGAGTTTTCTCTGGTTTTCCATATACATGGCAGGAAGTGACTGTGTTCAGCTTTGGGTCCAGTGCCTAAACCTGACTCCTTGGCACCAATTGCAAAGTGACAGCCCTGTAGGCCAAATATGATGCAAAAAATATGCTTAGCCTGTGGCATTTAGAAAAATGAATTAGTGCCCCAAATTAAAAAATTGGGAAACTTCAAATAAAAATCTGGAAAATCAGAATATCTGACAACTCTGGTCTTATATTCCCATGGCAACCATCTGCTAGAGCAGAGTAGCAGCTGCTGCCTGGAGCCCAGGCACACACTCTCATTGCCTTGGTTGCTGCCTTCCCTATTGTCCTTCATTGGGTGTTTCACTCCTTTTCATTACTGTTGTGATCCTTGGGGGCATTTGAACTTGAGTCACTTTGGCCTGGTTTCAGAGTCCCTAGAGACAAAATTCATCCCAGATTGGGTCAAATGTGGATCTCTGATTCCAAGTACTATGGCCATAGCAGGGCAGACTGCATCAGTGAGGTCCACATGGGACCCAGGGCACCTCTTCAGCAAGGTTTGTGGGAAATAGCAGGTTCTCAGGAAAAGAACTGTAGATGGGCAGACACTCCAAGAAGAGCCTAGTACAAGGGGAAGGAAATGAAGGCTGGTGCCCACTTATTACACCAGACATGTAATAAAGGCCTCTACTAAAGTAGACATAGTGGGTTAGAGAGAAGGGAGATTAATTTATAAGTTGTTAAGAACATGATGCCAACTCTAGTGACTTGGGAGGCTGAGGCAGGAGGATCTCAAGTTCAAAATCAGCCTCAGTAATTTAGCAAGGCCCTAAGCAACTTAGTGAGACCCTGTCTCAAAATAAAAAAATAAAAAGCGTTGAGATTTTAGCTCAGTGGTTAAGCACCCTGAGTTCAATCCCTAGAGTCAAAAAAAAAAAAAAAAGTACGTAATGGGCTGAGAGGGGGCAAGACCCTCTGACTTAGGTAACAGTAAAAAGTGGTGTCCTTCATCAAAATTGAGAATACTGGCTAGGGATATAGCTCAGTTGGTAGAGTGCTTGCCTCAAATCCACAAGGTCCTGGGTTCAATCCCCAGCACCACAAAAATAAATAAATAATAATTTTTAAAAAATCCAGAATACCAAGAGAAGAAGGGTTGGGGGAAGATAAAGAGTTCCTTTGTGTTTTGTGGAGCTTGCTGTGCTGTGCCTGGGGTCATGCTGGTAGAGCTGCTTGGTAACAGGCGGTAGCAGGCATCCTTTGGGGAAAGATGTGGGCTTGATATATGCACTAAGTCACTGGTTAAGAGAGAGAAGTCGAAAACACAGGCACAGGCTAACTGTGGGAGCAGGCCTGAGGGGTGGAAGGGAAGGGGGCTAACCAGTAGAACCACAAGGAGTACTGCTAAAGGCACAGAGAGCTGCCAGAAATGCTGGTTGCAGGAGGAGAACCAGGGGTGGTGGCCTCACAGAAGCCCACGGAGGTCTGTCCATTTAAAAAGAAGAGTGATCATCAGCAGCACATATTTAGAGGAAGGAAGAAGGCTTGGATACAACTTTTTGGATTTGGCAATTAAGAATTTATCAGTGAATGGGATAAGCATGTCATAAAGTGGTTGTGCAGAAACCAGAAACCCTGGGCTGAAAAATGAGTGAGTAGGGAGGATGGGAGACTGGATGGCAACTCTTCGAGCACTGGGGTGTGGAGAGAAGGAGAGAATTAGTCCAAAAGCAGAGTTTGTGTCCAACAAGATGCCAGGGGAAGGCCTGGCTGCTGGCTAGAGACCCAGGTGTAACTAATGCCTTCATCTGGGGATGGGAGGGCCTGAGAAGGCTTCAGCTGCCAGGTGCTGTCTTATTTGTGGAGCCCAAGTGAAAGCAGAAAGGCCTGCAGAGGGAACTGCTCTCCGAGGAGGCCCCAGCTTTGTGGCTGGGGTTTTCCCACTCTGCATCTAGTTTCCTTGATCCACTGATTATCTTGGGCCGGTTTTGCTGAATGACTCAGGAGCTTGAGCAAGCTTTGCCACTTGGTTTCACAGCTCTGGGGGAGGGGAAGCCCGATTCTTTTCTGATAATCCCGGAACAGTCATTAAGATATTGAGAAAAGCAGGAAAGTGAGACCCCAGCTTCAGAGCAAAGGCTCTCCAGGACTTTTTTTCTTTTGGGGGGGTAGGGGTACCGGGGATTGAACTCAGGGGCACTCAACCACTGAGCCACATCCCCAGCCCTATTTTGTATTTTATTTAGAGAGAGGATCTTGCTGAATTGCTTAGCACCTCACTTTTGCTGAAGCTGCCTTTGAACTCACGATGCTCTTGCCTCATCCTCCCAAACCGCTGGGATTACAGGCATACGCCACCACATCTGGCCCCTGTCTTTATTCTCAATAAAATAATATCTAACCATTATTGAGAGCTCTTACCTTTGCTGAGCAATGTTCTATGGTCCTCCAGGCTTATCTGTGAGGTGACTCTGATTATTCTCTGCTAGGAGGAAGCTGAGAGTCAGGTGAAATGACTTGCCTGGGGCATCTAGCCAGTCACTGGAATTGCTGGGAATTGGAGGCCAAAAGTCAGTGCCTTTAACCATAATGGACTCTGCACTTCTGATGATGTCTCCAGGTCACCCAGCAAGGTCTGTGGGATTGAGGAGGGACCTCCCAAATGAGGGTCCTGGGAAAATGGCTGAGAAATAAGGACCTTCTAAGAAGCTTCTCTCCAGCTAGAATTTCTTCTGTGAAGAAAAGGATGAGATCTTTTGAGCTTGTTCTGAGACTCCTGTTACCTGAGACCCCTTTCTGCAGCCCCCACCCTTCTGCTTAGATAAAGGGTCTATTCATCAGCCTCCCCAGAGCTGGATCTGGAAGCTGGGCCTGGCATCAGCCATGTCTCCCTCCTCTTGCCTGCCTTCCTGCCTCTCCCTGTGGACTTGACACCTGGTATCTCTTTCCTGTGTCCCTGAGCCCAGGGCTTGTGAAGTCCAGGCAGGCACAGTATCATTTTCTTCCTAAACTGTCCCTGAAGCAGGAACAATTTTGCATGCTCTTTGTCAGTACACACTTCCAAAGGTTCCTGTGAAATTCAGGCGCCAGTAAACACCCAAAGAGGAGGAAATGGGCCAAATAATGAGCCTGCAATTGCATCAGAATTGACGCACTCCATGCCTTTTCCCCCACCTCAGTCTCCAGAGGAGCCCAGTGGGGCCAGGCCCAAACCCTCTCCCCTTCATTTGGCCTAGGCAAGAGGCTAAGTTGGGGTGAAGGGGCTATGCTGAGGAGGTGACATAGACTCCAGCTGTATCCTCCTTGGTCTCAAAGGTAACTTGTGGACACATCTAAAAGCTAGAGAAAAGGCAAAGATGGGGTAGCCTGAGGAAAGACTCCAAAAGCATTGAGGGTTTTTGGAGTGTCAGCCAGTTGCCAGGCTCCTTACACTTGTAACAATAATAACAGTAATGATATCTGACACACAGGCACTTGATCTATGATCAAAAGTTGCCGCCATTTTCTTTTTCCCTTTTTTTTTTTTTTTTAACCCGGGGATACTTTGCCACTAAATATCCCCAGCCCTTTTTATTTTGAGACAGAGTCTTACTAAGTTGTTTAGGGTATCACTAGATGTTGCTGAAGCTGATCTCGAACTTGTAATTCTCCTGCCTCAGCCTCCTGAGTCGATGGATTTACAGGTGTGCTCCATTGTGCCCAACAGCAGCTGCCATTTTATTGTGTGATGGCCCTATATGATTTACATGCATTATCCTACTGAATTCTAGCAACACTCTTACAAGTTAGCAAGATTACAATTACTCTTTTACGAGTTAGGGAACTGAGACTGAGAGGGGTTAAAGTTCAGAATTAACCCAGGTCACTCAGCTGGGCACTGGAGAGTCTGGGTTAGGAACCAGGTCTATTTGGTCTTTGCTTCATCCTGTGTGTTAATTATGTGATCTTTTCAAGAAAAATAGAGAGTTATTATTGCTTTGGCTTACAGATGGGGAAACTGTGACCTCAGGCAAGTCTATTCACTTTTCTGAGCCTGAGTATAAATCTCAACGCTATTATTGATGACCTCATGCTGAACTCTGGGGGGCTCAAGAGTACTCCTAACTCTAGGAGTCTTCCAAGAGTCCCTCGAAATGCAGTTTGGGTTTCACAGGGCTCCCCCTCCCCAGGAGGTGATAGAACCAGCCCCTGCCTAAGTGCTGATCATCTGGCTTTGATCATCTGTTCACTCAGCTTTGCCCCTGGACTGCCAGTTTCTGTGGACCCCTCTGGCTATTCTGTTAGCTCTGTATCTGGTAGGGCCTAGCTCGGAGGACAGGTTGTTTGAATTGGGGGGAAAATGGATCCCTGGAGGAGCTGCGATTTGATCCTAGGTCTGTTGGTTCCAAGAGTCATTTCCACTCCCTCCCTCTGCCGTAGGCCCCCCGCTTGCCTGGTGAGGCCTAGGTACACAAGCTGAAGAGCAAAGAGTCAAGGCAGCAGGTCAGAAGGTTTAGAATCTTTCCCCTGCCCTCCCCTTTCCTTGTCCAGAAGCCAAGGAGAATTATGAAAACTCAACTGCCCTGTACCAGTCTCAGCCCCAAGTTAAGGAATGCAAAAGGTGAGGAGTTGCCATGGTAACGGCAGTGCCAGGTATGTTGGTGGGTACTTAGCTTGTGCAGCATCACAGGAAGGCCTGCCCAGTGCCTGTCTGAGGGTTTACATTTCTGGCAACAAGGCAGTGGCATTTCATTTGTTCTCCTTAATGGGACAATATGGGAGACTTGCTTTTCATTGCCTCCATTTTTTTCTAAGTAGAAAAGGAGGAAAAAAATCATGCTTTTTTCCTTCCCACCCACTCGGAGAAGTGCTGGAAAACACCAGCATTCCCTTCCAAGGCTCTGCTGCAGCTGGTCATGAAACCCCATCATCACTTAAATTGCTCCATTTTAAAGGTTTGTGAAAACTGCACTAAATTGATTTTTCCCATATCACTTCTATCTGTTATTCTGTGGTCTCTCGTCAGTGCTGCATTTTCTCAGAGCAGGGAAGCAAGTCTGTAAGGAAAGTCTTTGCTAGTCTGGGAGCCAAAAAATAAAGAGGATTTTAGAAAGTACCAAATTCTTGTCTTTCTTTTACTTACTCATGCACTTATGTATTTATTTTTACCCTGGGTCTGTTGAAAAGGATTTGGCTCACAGATTCTAAACTCAATTTAGCTTCAGGCCTTAATCACTGCGGGAGCAGAGAATCTTATAATCACAGGGATGGAAAGAATCTTAGAAGTCATCTGGTTCAGAGACCCTCCAACTTTTAGATATTATCAATAGTTAAAAGTTTAAAAAATAAGAAGGGAGACAAAGATATAGTTGCCAGCTTTTAGTCTAGCCAAACAAGAACATCAAAAGCTGCAACTATCTTGTTTCACATTTTATTTATTTATTTTGGTACTGGAGATTGAACCTGAGGACCCTTAACCACTAAGCCACATCCTTAGCCCCCCACTTTTTAATTTTTATATAATTTTTTTAGTTGTAGGTGGACACAATATTGCTTCAACCCCAGCCCCCCAGCCTTTTTTATTTGAGACAGGATCTCCCTAAGTGGCTTAGGGCCTCACTAAGTTGCTGAGGCTGGCCTCAAACTTGCCATCCTCCTTCTTCAACCTTTCAAGTCCCTGGGATTAGAGGCGTGGGCCACACACCTAGCTTGTTTCACATTTTAATATCAAAAGGTAGGAAGGGTACATACTTTCAAAATACAATACTCTTCCTTAAACCATATAAATTTAGCACACATAAATTCACCTCTTAATCATTTATTTAGCATACTTTTCCACGCACTAGCATCAGTCTGAAGGTGGACATTTGAGAACTAGTAAACTTTGGTTTACTGTTCTTACCAGTATTTCTTGGGGATGATGTCTTGGTCTCTGCTTGGATACTTCTGATAACTGGGGTGCTTGTCACTCTCCCTTTTAGGTTGATTCAAGCTGTTATTTATTCTTTTATTTTTTTTAGCACCAGGGATTGAACCCGGGGACACTTAACCACTGTGCCACATCCCTAGCCCTTTTTAGTATTTTCTTTAGAGACAGGGTCTTGCTGAGTTGCTAAGTACCTCATTAAGTCCACGAGGCTGGCTTTGAACTCAAGATCCTCCTGCCTCAGCCTCCTGAGTGGTTAGGATTACAAGTGCGGGCCACACCCACTTTTATTTATTGTGTGTGTGTATGTGTGTGTGTGTGTGTTGCCAGGGATGGAACCCAGGGCCTTGCACATGCTTGGCAAGCACTCTATCTCTGAGCTACATCCCCAGCTGTTACAACTTTGAGCCCTTCCCTTGTCTATCCTTCTTCAAGTGGTGGGATGTCCCTCCTACACATTTCCTCACCTCTCCTGCAGTTACCACTTTTATGTATTAATCTCAGGTGTTGAAATTCCCAGCTGACACATCATCAATATCAACTTCTTGAGGGCAAGGTCTATGGCTGTTTACTGTTGAATCCTGGGACCCATCACATGGCAGAAACTCATCAATAATTGTTGACCAAAGGAATGAATGTTCATGCACTGGGCTAATGATATCGTGACCATGAAAATAACGAGCATTTGTTTCATGTGTACTGTATGCTAAGCATTTTATGTGATTTTGATCAGGAATAGGATTTTATGTCAGGGCATTTGGAATAAGATTAAAATTATAATTGATGAGGCATGTTTTAAAAGGAAGTTTCCCTGGGAATTTATCCTATAGAATTCCCTTCAAAGTGCTCTAAGATGTATGTGCAAAAATGTCTACTGAAGGGCTGGGGTTGTGGGTCGGTGGTGGAGTGCTTGCCTAGCACATGTGGGGCCCAGGGTTTGATCCTCAGCACCACATATAAATAAATAAAATAAAGGTATTGTGTCCACCTACAATTTAAAAAAATATTTTAAAAAATGTCTATTGCAGTATTGCTTCTAATAGGAAAAGACTGGAAATAACTTTTTTTTTATAAAGAGAGAGGGAGAGAGAGAGAATTTTAATATTTATTTTTTAGTTTTCGGCGGACATAACATCTTCGTTTGTATGTGGTGCTGAGGATCAAACCTGGGCCGCACGCATGCCAGGTGAGCGCACCACTGCTTGAGCCACATCCCCAGCCCCACAAATAATTATCAATAGGGAACCTGTTAAGTAAATTATAGTTTGGCCATACCATGTAGGCAGCATTTAAAAAGAACAAGTTATATCTAAACGTACTGATATGAAAAGCTGTCCAAGAAATATCATTAAGGAAAACAACCCTACTTCTGTTAAACATACATACTCACCCCAATATACAGAAAAAAACACGAACATACAGAAAAAAAAATCTGGAGAGACAATATAATCCAAATCATTAACAGTAGTTCTTTCTCTGTATAGATTTGCAAGGGACTTTTACTTTATTAAGTATCCATTTCTAATTAAAAAATAAGCTGGATGTGGAACCGGGTGCGGTGGCGCACGCCTGTAATCCCAGAGCCAACCTCAGCAACTGCAAGGAGCTAAGCAACTCAGTGAGACCCTGTCTCTAAATAAAATACAAAATAGGGCTGGGGATGTGGTTCAGTGGTTGAGTGCCCCTGAGTTCAATTCCTAGTACCCCTCCCCCCTGGGTACTAGGGATGTGGTGGGTTGGGCAAGCTTGTAATCCCAGTGATTTCAGAGGCTGAGGCAGGAGGATAGCAAGTGCAAAGCCAGCCCCCACAATTTAGTGAGAGCCTGTCTCAAAATAAATAAATAATAAGGATGTTGCTCAGTGGTTAAGTGCCCCTGGGTTCAATCCCTGGTACCAACAAACAAACAAATAAATATAAAACCATTCTTCTTATACTTTTTAAAAAATAGTTTTATTAAAGTATAATTTACACACCATTAAATGCATATATCATTTTTCAGTGGTGGTGTGGGGAAGATTTTAAAAATCACGAATAGAAGCTTTCTGACATTGAAGTTAACCTAGTCTCTTGTCTCTCTGTCCACCCCTCTGTTTCCCTCCTCACACTGGGTCCCTTCCCAGGACCAGTATCTATAGTGATGTAGAAGACTCTTCTTCCTTAC